GGGGATGACTCCTACTCAACTCTCTGGAGTTTTCCAGAGTGGAGTAAGCTGCCTTTGGTGAAGGTAGTGAGTTCCCTGTCTTAGGGAGGATTCAAGAAGACAGATGCAAGCCTGCTAGGGCTGCTGTGGAAGGATTTTTGAACAGAGATGGAGAATACCCCTGATTACCCAGTTGTCTTCTATGGAGGCCTCAGGTTCCCTGGATATGCTAAAGGGACTGGGCTGCTGAGGAAAAGGGAGAGAAAAATGCTAATGTATGGAATTCTAGTCTCCATCCCTGCTCGATGAACTAATAACCAATGCAGATGGAAGGCTTATTGCAATACACAGATGAATTCCCTGGATCTAGGGAGAGAGGCCTAGGCAAACCATGGGATAGGAGTGGGCTGTCTATCAGCTACTGTCACCCTCCCCACTGGGGGGCCTTTTCTCTTTTGAACCAAACTGCTGTGTCCTCGAGCAATGGAGCCTGTCTGTCCTATGGTAGCTCCTCTCTGGAGTCAGGTCCCTGACTAGATCCATGTGTTTCTATTTGTACTTTTGGCTAATGGCCTCTTCCTCCTACCCTAAATTTCCTAATTAGAGGGCTACCTGAGATTGTTTAACTTAGAGCAAATGGGATGTCTCTCACATGCTTTACAGATTTCTTTTTTATATTTTTTTAATTTTTAATTTTTTTTTTTATTGGAGAGGTTTATTTTTGCTATTGGGCACGTGCACTCGCCAGACAGACAGAGAGAGACATAGAGACAGAAAGTGAGAAATCACCCCCCAGGGGAGGTGGTCACGCCGCAATCCCTTCTCCTCCATTCTCCTCTCGGGATCTTGGGCACGTATGCACATGTGCCCGGAGTGAGTTTTAAGCCACCGGGTCCGGGACGTGAACCGCGGTCGACTACGCTAACTGCTGGTTCCCGACATGCTTTACAGATTTCTAAGCAGCTCTCTAGGCTGCTCTGTCTGCCAGACCTTCCAAGCAGAAGTGTTGATAAAACCCCAAACTTACTCATGGAACAGAATGTGATCGGGCAGGTGTGCAGTGTGGTTTATGAAACAACATATCCCGCAGGTTCTGGGGGCCAAGTCCTTTTTTGGTGAGTTGACATATCCTATCCATAAAACACCATGAAGACAGCATCACTGTTTCCATGTATCAGATGGTAATCCTGAGACACAGAGCACTGATGTGATGTCTTTGAGGTCACCTGTCTATTGAATAGTGACCTAGATTACCGGAGAGCTCACATCCTTATCATCATCACTCCTCCAGTGGAAAAAAATACTAATGCAAAAGTTAACTTTATAATTCCCACACTGCCTCTGTCGGACTTAGAACCCCAGCAGTGGCCCCGAATGGGTCATGTTTGTGTTTAGCTCTGGTCTCCAGGGCTCATGCTGCTTCCTTCCTTTTACTGAGTCTACTCTCCAGACCCCCTCCCTCCTCCTAGTCATTCTTCAAGCTTCACCTCTTCCAGGAAGTCTTCTCTGATGTAGCGTCTCACCCCTACTTGTGTAGAATGGCCTTCCTGTGTGCTCGCAAGGTCTTATCACCACCCCGCATCCCTCAGAAGTCAAGCACCGTGAGAGCCAGGCTCCCATCTGCAATGCTCCCTGCAGGGTCACTAGCCCTGTGGCTGGCGACGATCTGGATGAATATCTCTGGGTTGGATGATGCATCTTGAGACTCAGATGGCCACTGGAGCCTGCTCGCTTCCTTTGTCTCCTCCAGGGCCCCATCGTTTGGACACTGATCAACGCTCCAATGACCTCTTCCCAGCACTGAGAACATCTGCCTTTGGGCCAGATCCAAGATCTTACCCTTTCCCTCTGGTTGTGTTTGCAGACAACACTTGACATGTGTGCAGTCCAGGTGGTGAGCTCCCTGCAGAGCTGGGCTCCTGGAGTATGAGGGTTACAGACCTCCCACCCCAGCCCCGCCACTGCTGGCCGAGGCGTGGGGGACCCAGCCGGAGTGGGCACAGCAGCCCACGATCTGAGTTATGAGTGCTACTTGCACCTGCTTCCCTGTTCTCAGCACCCACGAACCACTCATCTGTTCTCCATTCCCACCGTGCTGCCTTAGCCCAGGGCCCTCTTGTGACCTTTCTGCCTGGGATGGTGGAATGCCTCTAAGAGTCTCCTGCCTCCACTCTTGTCTTTCTCACTCCATCCTTCAACTGTTTCTCAAATGTAAACCTGGCTGTGATGAAAAGCCTTTGCTAGTTCTGCTGTCAAGAGGATAATGCACCCCCCACCCCCCCAATCTCAGCGAGGCCCTCCCAGTCAGCTTCATTCTCAGCCCCGCTCCCGACACCTCTGTCCGGCCACACAGATGAATGTACGTTCTCTTCACTCTTCACGTCTTCCTCTGTCCTCTCTATCTGGCACTTTGTTTTTCTCTCTTAAATTTGCTCAGTACATCCCTCTGATAAATATTTATGAAGTGTTTATTCTGTGCTCAGTTCTATTCTAGGGAAGCGAGTCCCCAAAGTAAACAATACAACGTCTCTAAGAGTCTTATATTTTGGTCTTATATTTAAGAAGAAAACTAGGAAACAAATACATGGACCAGATAATTGCAGAGAAAAGTATATGTTCTAACAAAGAGAAAAAAGGGTGCCACAGAAATTCAGTTAAAAGGTTTACTTTGGATGGGGGAAGGCAGGGGTAGGGAGAGTTTCTGAAGATGTCACATCTGACATATCTAAACACCCAGGGACAAGGTGTTCCGGGCAGGTGGGGACAGCAAGCCAAAAGGCCCAGTGGTGAGTCTGGAAGGCAGAGGGAGCAGGAAGGAGGCAGGTGTGGCTCCCATAGAGTGGTCAAGAGGGAGAGGGGATGGTGGCCATGGCAAGTACTCAGAGAAGGCCACCCTATCATCCCTCCTCGCCCTGAGACAGCCTTTCCTCTCAACTCTCTAAGACGCCGGAAACTTGCACAGAGGGACTGAGTCAGTCTCATTTCAAACCCAGTGCCCTGCCCAGCGCCTGGCAGATGGCCAGCCTTCACTCATGATTACTGAGCAAATAATACAGTCATGGGTCCGAGGCAGACCACTGACAACTCTTTATCCAGAAGGTCTGCCCAGGGGAAGTGGGTGGTAGGAAAAGCTGGTGTGTCCTCTATGAAAGGAGTCCCACTTCTGTGACACTGAGAGTACCCACTGGGACAGTGACTGACTGATGCTTCCTCCTGCAAGGCTTTTAATCCAGGCCTCCTCCCCAAAGGGGAAAAAAAGGAGCAAGAGAACAGTCTTCATTTAGTGTCTGGAAAAAAGTGTCGAGTGGATACTCGAGAGTAGGTGAGCAATGACGTACAAAGTACATAATGCATGTCTGCCGTGAGTTAGATGCTCAAAAAATATTTGCTACCTGCTCTTTCCTTGACCCTAGGGGGTGAGGAGGGAAAAAATTGATTTGAGCAAAGAGAACTGAATGAAAAACCGAAAGGACACAGTGCCTGTAGAAGCCTCTGAGAGCACCCAGACCCTGCGAGAGTTCAAGTGCTTCAGGGTCTCCTCTACTGCCGCTTGTGAAGAAGGGCAGAACCGAGAAGGCATCTCCCGGGAGTGGAGGAGGGCCAGAGCCAGCGGCGACTCTATGTGACGTGGGGACTCCACGACACAGAGCAGGGTGGCACTGTGCCCAGAGTCATCCTAATATAAGGCCAGGCGAGTGCATGCCTGCCACCAGAAACCAGAACCAAGTCCCATGACATTCACGAGAACCACAGAGCAATCACAGTAACGGGAGTAATGAAAATCCTGGCCCTTCTGACAACCCCTTTCAACCTGGCTCCGCCCACCTGACCCCTCCGGCTCCAGCTCCTGTGCACGCGGCCATCCTTCTGTTCCTCATGATGACCTGGACTGCTCTTCCCTCACGTTTCCACACAGACTCATTCTTGTCATTCGGGTTTCAGATTTAAGGGCACTTCATGGACACCCTCCCCGAGTCCCCCAGCCCATGGAGCTGCTTGCAGCTCACTCGGACGGTGCCATGCAGCACCTGCACTGGCTGCCAGTTTCCTGACTGCGGCTTTAACTATGCCTGCTCCCTGAGAACACAGGGACCACGAGAGCAAGGGCCCCTGTCCTTTCTCACCCCTCAGTACCTGCTGCGCACAATAAGGGAAGGCCCTCAGCCGACGTCTGCTGACCAAATGAATGAACCCATTATTTCTGTGTCAGACAGAGTCAAGGAAAGAGCAGGTAGCAAATACGTTTTGAGCATCTAGCTTACGGCAGACATGTGTTATGTACTTAATACATCATTTCTCACCTACTCTCAAAATATCCCTATGAAGGTTTTAAGCCCATTTGACAGTTCAGAAAACTGAAGCACAGAGAGGCTGAACAACTCATGTGAGGTCACACAGGTCAACACTGGGAAAAAAATTAAAGCCAAACCCAGACCAGCTTGGGCCCACCTGCCCTGTTTTTTTCTGTTACATTGCTCTTTCCTAAGAATTGTTTTGCTACTGTGTTGACCATGAGCAACTTGGTTAACCTCTCTGTGCCTTAAGTTCTCCAACTCTAAAAGACAATTTCTACGAACATCAAATGAGAGAAACATATGGAAACTATAAACGGAGAAGAACTAGGAACAGGGCAGATGGTACATAGCTATGCCTGGGAGTAGCCTCCTGGCACTTCTTGCCCCGTGCTGACTCCTCAGAGGTCAGTTCCGTGGGATGATCTCGTTTAGTGCCACCCGACACACTGCATCCCAGGTCTCCCGTGTTAATGTCACGCCCACAGAGACCTTGGCGGCTCCTGGCCATGGCAGACACAGCCTGTGGACTTACTACCATACCTGCTCTTTTCTCTGCTTGGAGGGTTACCTGTGACCTCATTTAGCCAGGGACTTTGTACCCACAGCGATGTGACCTGCTCACATGCTTGCCTCTCCCACCGGGCAGCAGACACCCAGGGCAGAGGTGGCGTTGGGGTCATCTGGGTCCTGCCCTGAGCATGACTCAGGGCCCGCGGAGCCACTTACATTCTCACTGTTGACATCGGCCTCGCTGGGGCAGCCAAACAGCTCCCGCCGCAAAAGGTTGCCATCATACTCCAGGAAGGTCAGGTAGAGGTTGCGGAAAAACTCCACATGCTTGTTCTTCACCCGGAGCTTCTTGGGGGAGTTCCAGTGGATGACCTGGTGGGGAACAGGGAGGCAGTCAGGCAGGGAAGGTTGCATGTGGAGGAAGCCAATGCTTTGCGCTGGGTTGGCAGTTTTTGTAGGCTGCTCGCTCATTCCTTCATTCAACGTTTATGGTAGACAGGCTAACAGAAGGGCTTCCAGTTGCTGGTTCACATCCTGCCTCTGTTCTAGGTAGCCATGTAGTCGTTTAACCTAGGCAGGCTACTCAATCTCTTGGTGCCTCAGTTTCCTCTCTCTGCACTGGGGGATAGTAAGATCCTGACTATGCTGGTTATTACTCTATGGCCTGTCAGCTTCAAAACTGCTGTGTGGCGGGAACCAGCAGTTAGCGTAATGGCTATGTCGCTGGACTCCCACGTAGTTGACCGTGGTTCGCGTCCCGGACCCGGTGGCTTAAAACCCAGGCCGGGCACGTGTGTGTGCGTGCCCAAGATCCCGAGAGGAGAATGGAGGAGAA